GGGCGCGCTCGTGCTGGGCCCCGCCGCGTCCTGCCCGCGTGCGCGGCGCGCCTGGTCCGGCGACCGCGCGCGGTCGTCGCCCTCGCGCCCCCGCGGCTGCGGCAGCAGCGCGCGCTTGCCGCGCGCCGCGGCGGCCTCCATGCATGCCGCCGTCGGCGCGGGCGGCGGCGCCGCCGCCTTTGGGGCCAGCGGTGTCGCCGGCCGCGCGTCGTCAATCCCTGACAGCCGCCGCTCCACATCCACCACCTCCAAAGCCAACAGCAGCCGCAGCCGCTGCAGATGCGCCGCGAGCTCCTCCCCCCGCGCCTGCTGCCGCTCCTGCGCGCCGCCGCCGCCGCTGCCGCTCCCGCCGCCGCCGCCGCCGCCGGGGGCGCGGGCCAGCAGGTAGCGCGTGCTGCTGAGCGGCAGGCGCTCGTCCAGCAAATGCAGCAGCACCACATTGCGCGTCGAGCGGACGCAATCCAACGGCACGTCGCCCGCGCTATTCGCCATGCCCCTCAGATCTCGGCCCCCAGATCTGGCCGCCTCCTGCTGCGCCTCAAGTAATAGCCGCACAAGCGGCAGGTCCCCCTGCAGCGCCGCCACGTGCATCGCCGTGCTCCCCGGCGGCAGCGGCAGCGGGCACGCCGCGCCGCCGCGGGGCGGGGCCGTGCGCGAGTACAGGTCGGCGCCGCCGCGGACGAGCGCGGCGGCCGTGCTCAGGGAGCCGCGCAGCGCGGCCGCGTGCAGCGCGGTGAGCCCGGCCGCATTATGGCGGTCCACGAAGCGCACGCGCGCGCTGCGGGGGCGGCGCAAGGGGCAGGGCGCGCACAGGGGGAGGGAAGAAGATGGGTCAGTGGCCGACTCCGGTGCAGGGGCCGACTGCGGCTGGCGACCGGCGGCGGGGCTGTCGGCGGCGGCCTTGCCCCGAAGCGCCCTGCATGCTCCGCGCACGCCGCCCCGCTCCCGCCGCCGACCCCGCTTCTCTGGCCAGCAGGCCCCCGCCTGCAAATCACATCCGCGTCCCCGATCATCTGCGCCCGCTCGCCTTCCGTCCTCGTCCCAGCAGGGAATCTCCGCGACCGGGCAGCTGCCGCCGCCGGGCAGCTGGTACGTCGCACGGCCGGACAGCAGGCGGCGCACACATTCAGAGTGGCAGTGGGACGCCGCCCAAATCAAACAGGTGTTGTGGCGCGACGCGTCGAGGACCAGAGGGTTGGCGCCGTTTAGGATTAGATACTCGGCGCACTGAGAGTGCCTGGGGGGCCGGGGAGGGCGCGGCGCGGAGAGG